AAAAAAAAAAAAAAAAAAAAAAACACATCATAGTAAAATTAATACCTTCTCAGCTTCGCATCGAAGCTAAAAATAAGCTAAAAATGAGTACTGGGCCATTCTGTATTTTAATATTGATGATGTAAATGAAATTTGAATGACTTCATAATGTCCATTATTTTGTAAAACATAAAAAATTTAAAGTCATCCACATGAGGATGACTTCGAAAAAAGTTTTAATTACACATTAATCTACGCTTTGATTAAAAATTAAAAATTATTGTGTCGTTAAATAAACATTAAACGATTATGTTACTATGTTCACGGAGAATATATCTTAATGTCAATGAAGGAAAATGAAGGTCGACGAATTATTAGCAATTCGTCAATATTTGTATAGACAATATTAATTGTCTATACAAAAAGTCCCGATTTATATGCGTTTATAAATTTTATTAAGTTATTTCAAACACATCATCAGCCAATAAAAATTTACATTAATAGGCTCGAATACTTAGTAATATGATCTAACTGGGGTTAGATGGCTCAAACAAAAGGTATTAATGCATATAAACCCGGACTCTAATTTATAACGGTACTATTTTTACTACTTAAGTTTATGATATTATTAAATAGCACAATAATCTTATTATAGAAATGTAGCTTATTGATTATGTAGTTAAAAGATGACCATTAAATGTATACGAAACAATTTAATATTATATTATTGCTAAGATTTTTATCCCAAAGAATCAATTTATATTTTTTATTTCATTGATAAATTCTTTATTATAACACTGAAATCTATTTTTGCTCGATATAATTGAAATAACTATTTAGTAAACTGCAAAAGATAATTGACCAACAATGATTAAAGAATGCAGGTTTTAATGAGAAAAAAAATTAATTTTTGAAAAGCTCTTTTGGATTACCATTTTTAAGATCAAGTTATGTAGTCAAGTGTTTTGTTAAAGTTATGTCAATTCAACCTTTAAAAGATAAAAAAATACAATCTTTTTTTATGATTATATTCTAGAAAGTTACATTGATCCAAATACTTTATTTCTTATATTTGGTCCGAATTCAAGACGACAACAAACAACTGTGAATCATTTCATTACAAGCTCAACAAAATTTACCGTGTATCACACCCCAATATTAATTATTTTATAAATGTTATAAAAGTTGTACAAATAGATACATACATAAAAATGCAGTGTTGCTAAAAAAAAAAAAAAATTGAAAACAAGATATTTTTGACAGAAAAAATGATTAAAAATACCAAAAATTCATTAACAAGATATCAATTTGTTTAAAATTTGTCTTATAAATTTGTCTTATAAATTTTAATTGTATTTTATTATTATTATTATTTTATGGCTAATGCTTTTTTATTATATAAATACACAATAATTTAATATGAATAATTTGTTAATATTAGTATGATTGAGTAATAAATATAATGTTATTTATATTTTATATTTTTAATATTGGGTCTCAATTTTCAAGCGGCTTTTTTTTTTTTTTGGAACTCAATTTACATGTATGGATTAAACTAAAACACTTCAAAAAGATATTTTGGGACATTTTTTACAATAATTATCGATTAGACACAATCGTATTATGGCGGAGAATGTCCAGTAAAGTGTGTGACACTGTTTAGCTTCAGTACCATCACCCGACCGAGTACTACAGCAAACATTACAGGTGGACATCCGTGCAACATTACTGAGCCATATTACGCCCTAGTATTGAAATATGTATATAATTATATACCTGCAATTCATTTATTATCAGATGAAATCAATTTTCTTACTAGGCGTGATATATTCAATATGAATGAAAAATAGTTGAGATAGGTCGATAACATTTTTATGGTATTTACTTTTTATGGATTTATAACTATTCCATACCATTATTTGCTGGTAATTATTTTGAGGCCAAAATCCATGTTTATTTTGTAAATTTACTTACGTGTGGTCGCATCCATACAATCGGTTGAATAGGCGAACGTTTAACTTTATATAGACATTTAGGTCCGGCTGGGAAATCTGGATCTTCGAACAGAGATCCTCGCTCTCTACACGATCGGCGCACGGCATGATAGCTAGGCTGTTTTCTCGGCCTTTCAACTGTCCAGTAGCCTCTATGATAAACAAAAAAAGTCATATAAATGCAATAAAACATAAAAAAAAATTTTTTTTAATATTTTGAGATTATTCTCGAAAAATAATCGCCAAAATCTATGGTGATTATTTACAGTCATTATTATGTGTTCTATGATGTTAAAGTATAACACTTAAAGTTAAATGTTTAACTAACGGGAAAACAAATTTAATTTACAACGTGACTTTAACCTACATATGTTTTAATTATTTTTCGTGTAACGAACGGTCACAGTAATTTGTTAGTTTAATGACCATACTACATAAATTTAGGCATTTGCGATGAGATAACACTACAACTTGCATTTGCAGTGCAGATAATAAAACACCCTAATTGAAAGTATAATAATATAGCTTATTATAAAGCTGCTGAAACACTGAATGCATTCAGTTTTTGCAAATTTCCCGTTACAATGTGTCTTAGTTTGAACTTCATTATAATTAATATATTTTTTGCAGAAAAATTACATTAAACGATTGTTAACAATGGGTTAAACACTGTTTAAATTATTACATTGAGAAACTACCGGAAAACACTGTTTCTGTATATGTTTTTGATTCTAATTATTTTACAGTAATTTTAACGTTGTAATATAAATAATTATTATTATCTTTTTAAGTAACTTTATTAAGTAATTTAATATCCGTCTATTTTACATAGTCAGAGATATTATTATAATTTTAGCTTTGATGCGAAGCTGAGAAGGTATTAATTTTACCATGTGTTTATTTATTTTTTGTGTCTGTCATTACTTTTTCTCAGCTCTCACTGGACCGATTTTTCTCAACGATACGCCAAAGGATCACAAATCGTATCTATTTGAAGACATTACCCTCAAAAATTGAAAATTGTCCCGTAAATGGTGAAAATCACCACAAAGAAATACGATTTTTAAAATGGGTAAATTTCGTCATTTTTTTCTAAAAATTGTCATAACTTATTGAAAAACAAACAGATCAAAATATTTTTTTTGTATTGTAACCTTAAGTAATTTCCTTTTATTTGATATAATATTTTTTAAAATCTGACCCTTTACCTGGCTCAGAAGAGGGGATTGAAAATAGTAAATTAAACTTTTTCAACTTAATTTTTGAAAATTGTCCGGAAATATTAACACTTTTATTAAATCTTAAATTAACGTTTACCGATTCAGTAAAAATAATTGCTTGTGACGATGATTTTTTTTTTGCAATTTTTCCTTAATTCTTCTTAAGTTAAAAGTTTGATTTTAAATAATCCACCAATTAAAAACTATCGACAGATTTGCATCGAAGAGTTTCTTATGATTTTGATTTTAATCACTGTCAGATATCATCTATACTTGTCCTAACTATGTCACGTCCATACTAAGCTATTTTTTTTTTAACTAGTGTAGTTATCCAAAGATAATATTTCCATTTTACTGGTATTATCAGACATTTTTTTAATTTGTACTGAATGTAAAATTTAAATTATGATATTTTTTCTATGTATGACTTAATTAGTTGATTAACTATTGACTAATTAGTGACCTTGTGTATATTTTTCTTTAGCTGTTCCTTTTTTATGTTTGACTAAATCTCTGTTGGACGTTACGTGGTTGCATTGAATGCAACAATGATTTAAAGTCCCATATGCAAGTTATTTTAGTGTAATTATAAATATAGAAATTTCCTTGGCTGTTAAAATTCTAATAATTATTACGTACACGCGATGGTAGTGCGTTTAACTCCAACGGCTTGTAAATGTAATATAAACACATAAATAAATCTGTTCGGAAAATAGTTTTCATCAAAGCGCCTGCCAACAGGCAATTAGTACATTGAGTAATAATATTATAATTTATAAGTAGCTAAGCTTTCAACGAGCAATCAACATAAAATCGCGTTGATTGTGGCATATAAATCATATAAACAGACAATAGCACTATAGTAACAAATTGGAAAAACATAACATTATTTCATTCATAATATTATAATCCACATGGTTTATGCGTGTTTTGCATACACAATGATTTTGTAAACAACGTCGAGTATTTCGTGCATACGCTCTGAGAATAATTAACATTGTTATGACCGGCAAACCGCATTTATTTTACATCACTGCGCTAAAAAGTTCCCAACTAACTCACGCGTATTCTATTACGATAAAATTATAATTCACTTTCTATGAAACGTCTATTACGATTGCTAATGAGCCTTATCCTTACATTTACAAATTATCAAACGCTATTTATAAATGACGTTTGGGTTTTTCTAGCTCTTGAATACGGCTATGTGAATTAAGTTTGTTATTTCCAAGATACAACTAATTGAACCAAATTCAAACTTCATTTTTGAAGTCTCATAACTTTTATAGTAATTCTCTAGTAGTTCTATGTGAGATTTCTACGATATAGCCATTTTAGTTTTTCAAATGGTGAGTGATGCGGACGTTATGTCCACAACCGATTTAGAGCAACGGTCAGACGGATATTGAAACGGTAAACCACGTCGAGACAGTATAATAATATTCAACATTCTCATTTATGTCTCTTTTTATGCAAACGCAACATGCAATTAGTTTAAAAACATCAAGATACCGTAAATACTAATTACAGATTCCACTCGTATACATAAACATAATATTGCTACCATCTGATTTGAAGATTTCTACTGTGTTAAAATTTAAATAGCTTAAAATTAAGTCGGATTTCCATTTAAATTGCTTTCTACTATAATAGTTCTTAACATAAATCGTGGTAAATATATATTTCCCAAGAACAAATTACGACTGATGACCCCTGACAAATAAGTATAAACAATGTTACAAATAAATATAATCGCGTCCTGACAATTAATGTTATCTATATAGTAACTGGCCAAAATTAATAAAATAACGGTAGCCGCATAATTATTACTATTTTAAGTATAACTAAAGAATGCATAAACGTTTCGTACGGTGTATATTTCCTTTGTTTATACGTTCGTCAATGACTATTTAAAAAAATATTCACCAGACGACGATGGGAGATGTTATTCAGCTCCTAATTATTTATCGATCGATTGAAACGAATAATCTGAGGGTAACAATGTCGTTTCAACGACGGCGGTTAATCTCACGGATAAACTTCATAACAAACAGGAAGTGAAAAGCTAATTGCACCTCAAAGTAACCCGCAGACAAATTTCAAAGCGCTAAAAGGGTCGTGCCGAATAATGATTATTACTCATCAAAACTCGATTGTAGGCGCATAGTTGGCTGAAATCAAACGGCAATGATAAGCCCAACAACCGCGATCTATCATGTGTGACTGGCGAAAGTATACCAAAGTCGTCAACGGAAGCATTGCTGTGCCGTTTCCCGTTATTTTCCTAGTAACTAGGACTGTACACTACGGACGTATGCAATAATGCCCTTGCACTGCAATGGTAACTGTGCAGTCGATGACCATTCAAAATTTACAGTTACCGACGCAGTGGTTCGATCTTTAGGATACCTCGAGTGTGTTCTAAATGCGACCGATGAAAAAGAGAAAATAATATGTACAAAACACATGTGTTATTGTACTTAATACTCGTTGTCCATAATAATATTGTACATTAATAGGTACTGTTGTGAATACACACACATACCGGCCGTAATAACACAGTGGTCGAGTATGATGTTTATGCGCCTCTAGTCCACCGCAGTGTTTCTATACATGCCGCAGACAAACAAGATTTTGTTTAAGTTCTATTGAATTTCAACTTGCACGTGTATTTACACGACACATTAGTCTCTCGTGTAGTCCCAGTAGAACGAATAAAAAAACTTGACTGGTTTATTCAAAAACCATCTTTTTCAAGGAACGTAGGCAAATTTTTATAACACGTTCTAAAAAATGACAAAAGGTAGATTTATTTTGATTCAATATTTCATCTTAAATCACGCTCTTATTTTTTAATAGTAAAATTTTCGAAATATTGTAGTTCAAAGTTAACTATATATAAAAATTTATAAAATGTTAATTACTGTCAGATATCATCTTAGCTAACTATGTCCACATTGTGGTGGTTTTTTTGTGCGTGGGAAAAATTTGTACCGGCCCTTCAATCAAAATAAAATTGTATATTAATTAAACAATAATTTTAAGAGGGGGAGAGAAGCGTGTTTCCTTTCCTTGTACAAGCTTTCAGTTTTATCATCTTTTAAATGTTCAACCCCCTCACCCTTTCAGAAATTAGTTTGAAAATACGTCGGTGTCTAGACGTATAATAACACATAACCCAATTAATTGTTAACTGCTCTTCGGTCAGAAAATGTGCAATTTACAAGACGACGCTCTGTGTGCGATTCACACGTGTATTGCAAAACGTGTTTTTCTTATTACCGTCAATTTCATGAGAGGCAAAGTGTGCGTCTGTAACGGTTCGTTGACTTTTGGGCGTCGATTTGTAACCTGCAAGTTATTGCTCACTTTGAATATTTGCACGCATTATCGTAAATTTACTGGAATTTCGATAGATTATAATTCGTCTACTCTTCATGATGTTGCATAGAAATAAAACGCTATCTCCCTCAATCCTATGAGTTCATTAGTGTGACATTTTCAGCGCACAATGTATAATTTAAATATAAATAAAAAAAACACTTCTATGGATGAAAAACAAAATTAAAATGTTTATATTTTTCGATTGAACGAGATAAATTAAAAAATGTTTAGAACATATAATAAATAAAGGTCAATTGTCATCTTTTGAACGTTGAGTGTTGAATTTAGTAAAACATCAAAGGGCGCTATATTGGATTTTAATCATATTTCAATGAATGGCGACCGTGTTGGGTTCCATCAGTGTACTGGCACACAACAGCAAGTTTACAAAAGCGACGGCACGAACATTGCCGTACTCTAGTTGGACGGGGCAGCTACTGCAAGTGTACGTGTTCGATATAAAAATATCAAAGCATTTGCACGAATTGAAAAAAACGCGGTCACTACAAAGACCACGTTCTGTACGCGGGCATAATGACATGACGCAA